CCCCCCCCCCCCCCCCCAATTCCCTCCATTTTCCACCAGAACCATAGCTCAGGGTCAACGCTGAATCTGACCTTTCTCTTTTCTCTCTCTCTCTCTCCCTGCTTGGAAGCAGTGAAATAATATTTTTTTAATTACCTTTTCTTCCATTTTTTTTCTCCTCTTTTCCATTTATTTGAAACACCTATTTTATTGTTCTCTGCATCTTTCTATATTTTTTCGGCTCCTGTGGTTTTGGTTTTGGTTTTTTTTTTTCTTCTGTTTCCTCCCCTCCCTCTCCCCTCCCCTCCTTTGGTTCTCCGTTCTGCCCCCTTTTTTGTTTTCGGTGCTGCCAGGGGCCGCATGCCTTACCCGGACATGTATCAGATGCTGAGACACATGTCTCCGCCCCTGGGTTTGGGGAAGAAGTGTCCGGCCAGAGTGGCTTACAAGGTAGATTACCTTTGCTGACCACCGCCGTCCGGGCACCGGGGACTTTTCCGTGCTGGCCAGGAACACCGGCCGAGTCTCTTTTTCCAGCGTTCCTCTTCTTTCTTTCTTTTTTTTCTTTTTTCTTTCCTTTCCTCCTCGAGTAAATGGGCCATGACCATCCCTTGATCTCAGGAGCACACCGTGTCCGTCCTTCTGATGAGTGTGTTTTGGTGTTTTGAGACTCCATTATGGCCGACATGCGGGGGGGAGGGGGGAGCCCCCAGTCCCCTTGTATTTGGTCTCCTGGGAACCAAATTGAACACAAACACACTTCAGGGGGGATCCCCACCTTGCCTCCTTTCTGCCCACCCCGAGCGGCCCCCACTCCCAGGCCGGGGCAGGTACCTTTTGGCAGGGGTCTTTGGCCCCCAAAAAGGCATGACCCTGGCCCCACCTTTTATATCTTGAATCCCAGGTCCCGCAGTGCCCCCGCCCCCCAAACACCTGAAGCTGATCTCTGACCTAGGGCCTTGGGGGATACAAGACCTCCCGAGGAACACCCACAGCCTCTCCTCCCTGCTCCTCCCCCCCGCCCCTGGAGTTGTTTCCCCAGCTCCTGTCCCTATGCCACCTGCTGCCCCCCAAGACCACCCAACATGCCTCTCCATTGTTCCAGAGTGGGCAGGCAGGCCGCAGCCGGACCCCTGGACCGTGGCACCCTGACGCAGGCCATGCACGCTGCCTTGGCGGGAGCCTGGGGCGGGCAGGCACCTTGGCCGAGGGGGCTGGGGTGGGGGTGGTGCATGCTGGCTGAAGGAGCGAGGGTCCTGCCGCCAGGCGGCTGGGCCAGCCCCCCTCCAGGACCCCGTCCCAGAATCTACCTTGGCACCCAAGGACCGATGATCTGTTTCCTCCCACTCATCCACCAAAAGTTCAGGGAGGACCTTTAAAGTCCCCCCTAAAAATATGAGTACCCATCATCCCATTCTCCCACCCCCCTTGGTCCGCCCTGTGTCTGCCAGAGTCCTCCCTCCCATTCTGCCAACACATTCCCTCCTGCCTCCTGTGGCTGCCTCTCCACAGCCTCCTTCCTCCTCCCCCCTCTATGCACCCCTCCTTCCCAGCCACGGCCTGGAAGAGGCTTCCCACCCGCATCTCAAAGACCCCTGCACCCCTGCACCTCTCTGTAGTCGTCCTCTCGTCCTTTCTCTTGGTCTCTGCTTGTCTAAATGTGTGTGTGTGTGTGTGTGTGTGTGCACTCACACACGTGTCCTCGCAAGAGAGAGGGAGGGAGAGCCTTCCCTCTGGCCTCTGTGCAGCCCCCGTGGGTCCATGGGACACCTCTGTGCAAAATTGAAAAGAGCACCCTTTCCACCGAACACTGTCTGCTGGGAAATTGTAACCCAGAGAGGTGGTGAGAGCCAGACCCTTTTCTGCTGGCAGCTGGGAAGCTGTCATCTAAATGCACGAATCCACGGTTTCTGAGGCAGGGACCCCGTGCGGGGCGCAGCCTGCACAGCTGTGCCCCGCGGCCCGTCTGTGTGCCTCTCCATCTGCCGCCTTCCTCCCCACTCGGCCCCCACCCATTTCTTGTGTCTACTCTGGGTTTGTCACCCCTTCCCCCTCGTCCAACTCTGTGTTTCCTGCTGACACGTGTCTGAAGCCCCACGTGAACCCCAAACTCACCCTCGACCCCCACCTCCGTGCCACCTCAGCCTGGGCCGGTGCACGCCAGCCCAGCATTGTCTCCCACATCACAAGCAAGGGCCCAGCGCCCCTGCCTGGGACACGGGGCGTCTTCTCTTCCCGGGGCCGCGGGAACGCTCCTCAGCCCTCCCCCACCATCACACAGCCGAGATCCAGACTTGCCCTGAGATACACTTCCCACGGAGCTATGAATGAGTCTCGAGATTCCGTCTGCATGCGCCCGTCTGCCGTTCTGTGTGTGATGGCCTGGCCTCGCTGCATGTCTGCGAGGGGCCCACCCCATCGGCGGGGGGCCGCCCGCCTGCTGCTTCTCAGAGAAACGATGTGGCCTGTGCCCATCTGGTCTGGTCTGGGCCGAGCGGGGGATGGGGACAGAGCTAGCGGCCCCCAGGCGGTGTGGCCGTGGACCCCTCTGCCTGGCTGTTGCATGTCTGCTCTGATCAGCTTGTGCGCTTCTTCTTTGGGGGGAGACGGGACGGACGGAGCTGCCGGGAGAACTCTGGGGCAGGGCGAGGGGCCGGGCCACCTGGGAAAGCCAGCTCTCGGGGCCCAGCCTGCGGGAGAGGAGGGGGCAGGTCCCCCAGTGCCTCCCTCAGGCCACTAAGGGGAATCGGGGGAATGCAGCGCTGGGACAGGTAACCTGAGGGTGGGGGGCACCTCGCTGCTGCCTTCAGAGTTCTTCCTGGGGCTCCCGGGAGGGCGGGTCTGGCTCGCGGGAGACCCAGAACGGAGCTTGGGAATGACTGTCCTCGCCTTTGCTTTTCTGCAGCGGCTCCTGCGAATGGATCTGCCTGTCGCCGATGACAACACCGTCCACTTCAATTCTACCCTCATGGCTCTGATCCGTACAGCCCTGGACATCAAGATTGCCAAGGGTAAGGGAGGCGGAGGGGAGGGGTGGGAGCTGAGGGGTTGGACAGGTGGAGGGCAGTGCAGCGGGCAGCTGAGGACTCCCCCTTCCGGCCTGAAACTGAAGGAGCCACTGCCCCGCCCTGATCTTCCTTGGCTCGCCCACTCACTCGCTCGGCAAACATCTGGTCATGCCTCCCGTGCACCAGCCATGGCTTACATATGGGGACATGGCAGCTTCCGCTTCCTACAGGGGAGGGCCTTCCCCAGGAGGCTCTGAAGGAGGAAAGGTGATGGATGAGTCACATGGACACCTGGGTGGACAGTGCCCCAGGCAGCGGGACCATCAGCTGCAAAGGTCCTGGGGTAGGAGGCCACCTGGGGCCGTGTTGAACTAACTTGCCCTCTGAGTCGGAGGTTGTCACAAAGCTTTTGGAGAAGAGGAGGGATCTGACCCTACTCACATTTGAACCGCCCCCTCGGGGGGAGAATGGACGGGAAGAGGCCAGAGTGGAGGCCACTGGCCTAACCCAGGTGAACCTAGGAGGGTGGCTCTGTGGAGGTTCAGATTCTGGATATTAATGGAGCCGAGCCAACCAGATAACCACGGGATTGAATGTGGGGCGAGAAGGAGAGAGAGAAGCAAGGCCACCCTCAGGGGTTGGGGCCATTGCCTGAGACAAGGAAGAGGCAAGAGGGCAGGCAGGAGGAGGCGTTGGCGGAGGCGCGTGGAGACAGAGTAAGCGGGGGCAGGGGGGGGCTCTTCCGCTTCCACTTCTGGGGGGGTGAGGGGGTGCCTTCTGTGAGGAGGTGCTGAAGGCGGGAGGTGAAGAGTCTTCAAACTGGCGATGAAGTCAGGAGGCATCAGATGCTGACAGATTTGCAGCCGGGAGACTGGACGGGCTCTCCAAGGGGACTGAGGGACCCCAAAGACCAACCTCGGGGCCACTGCAGCGTTAGAGGGCACTGACGGGGCCGGGGAGGAGGGACAGTGTGTCAGCGGCTGCCCTGCAGCCAGGGAAGGGGACTGAGGGTGACGTGGGTTCCTCTGACGGGCGTTCTGGTGGAGGTTCGGGGTCGCCCGCCTGCAGTGCGACTCGGAAGCCTGGCAGAGACTGGATGTGACTTAGCAGCAGACAAGACCGCAGGGCAGAGAGAACACACGAGCAGCAGAGAGAAGGACGCTGGGAAGGGCGCCTGCAGAGGACGGGGTGCTGAAGAGAGAAGTCAAGGCTCCACCCAGCTGAAGCCCCTGGGATATCAGGAGGAAAGCAGGCCGAACTTCAGGGACACCGGGTCCTGAGGGGAGGAGGGGGGCGAGGAGCCGAGGACAGAAG